TGGGACCAATGATAATGGAGGTCCACACAGAGGCAGTCGAGACTTTTATTAATTATACAGATAATGAGGTCACTTAACCCGATCTACGACATCCAAACTAAATGACAAGCGGTTCAGAATCTTTTATCTACATTTATTGGCACCAACAATTACTAACTCTATGTCTTGCATGTCTTGCAAAGGTCTGTGACTGAACAATTCTGCTTTTCCAGTACGTAATAGCCGTTTTGGTCGAAAAAAGGGTGACCAATTAATTTCCTCAAATGTTTAGACAGTCTCCAGACTAAGTAAAATTTAGAGGTGCCATCAAGTGAGACCATTACCGGAAAAGGCACGCTCTTTGTGGTGATTTTGAGGTAAACACTGAAGCTCATCGGCAGATCGTTTGATACCAACCGGTTACATAATTGCGCCTTCCACCTCATCGAGAAACTCCATAAGTTTATTCTTCCAATACGAATTTCCAACCTCTTAGACGGGCTCACGCATGCCATTATATATTAAGCCCACGGTTAATAGACCCAGCCGCTTAGTAAACCCAAAGTGTTCTGGGTCCGAGGTGGGCTTAATAACCGGCGACTACTGTATTTGCTGTTCCCCGAGTGTTGAAGTCTTATGAGATCTTCTGGTATAAAGCCTGCCAAATTCGCAAGACCGGTGGGTTGTCTAGGCCAACGGCCATCGTGAGTGCACAAAGCCTGCGTCATGACTTCTGGATTGGTCACTTAAAAGAGCCAGTGGATAAGGACCAGGATCATGTAATGCTCGCTTTCTGAAGATGCGATTTGCAAAAGTTTTATTCGAAGCGGGTGCAATTTGAAATCTTCAGAGCAGGTAGATATTTTGGGGAAAATGGCAGGAGGACTACTGACTTTGATTCTGAAAGTCTCCTCAACATCAGAATTCGTCGTCGAATGGATACTCCGGATGACCCATCGCCCTGAAACAAAAACAAACCCGAGTAAAGCTCGCAAGTGGGTGAACTAAGCTTACATTACAGCAGGTAGGACACGAATGTTGCGGCCACTTGTACTGAGGATTGCCATCTCCTCCTTCGTCAGGGCAAAATCGAAGACCTGAAATAAAGATTAGACGCAAGGGAAAGTCAATTCGACGAAATCCAAACTCAGTGAAGTGGATTAAATGATTAAGAGAACTTGGCTCGTTTTAATGACCGTTGAATTCAGGATGATGTTTATATTCCAAGTGCGTATAAGATTAAAGAATAAGAAGGCCTTTCGATTGCCTCAGTCATATCTTTATGCCTCTGAGCTATCGACCTCTTGCCGGAATCTAGCCTCTAACGGTAACGAACCAAAAAAACAAGCACAAGTTAGAGGAGTAGCCCTGCCTTGTCACTGCTGAATTGGTATTACATGTGTTTGATTGACCCTTGCCCCAAAACAGTTGCCTTTTTGTTGCCGCTTTAAACTCTTGATTCCAGCAAGCGTTCGGAAGCCCAGATGCATAAAGATACGATTGTGGCAAGCAAACGACCTACTACTTTTCTATCTGCGGTAAATAATGTCACCTACTGCTCATCTGATTCCCTGAACCCTGCAGACGATGCAATCAGTCATCCGTTTCAGTTCCCTCATTCCTAACCCATAAACAGTTAGTGAGTTCAAACTGTGATTCGATGCCAAACAGTGAAGTGCCAATACAAGCGGAGATACGAGCCCGAGGAAGTAACTGAGAAGAAGTAGATGTGATCGCTGGGACAAGCATTTTATTCGCCTGACGTTTCGAAATCCGTCTCGGATCCTGCGTCAGAGACAAAAGCAGAAACAGTTAATTAATGCACAGGGAAGTGCAGTATTTATAGGCTACGGTCACTATGCCACTGCACTCTTATGACAATTAACGACTCCTCAAGCGAGGAAAACTGCCCGCTCGCGCACTAATCGCAGGCGGGCAGGCCGTGACTTGCTGAACTTGCATTGCGCGTGGTGGAATTGAAAGTGGTGATTGTTCGGCCAGCTGGTTCCCTGACGCTGGCGTTAGACGACGCGTTGGCCTGTGCGTTCCCTAAGTGGCGATTTGTTTTGGCCAAATTGCGCCTTAGCACCGAACATGGATTGGGCAGGTCGTTGCACCGGTGACACGCGACCCATGACTCAAGTAACTCCCACCAGTGTCACCTCTCACGAGAATTTTGACCTCATCACATTTTAATGTATGGCCCGGTCTGGTTGAATGACCCACAACTTCAAAATTAGCCTGTTCGGCAATTCGGGTCTTGAGAACTCTTGCAGTTTCTGTGACGTAGGTACTCTATCCGCAACTGCACTAGATCCTGTAGAT